TAAAGGAATAAATGTTTTCAATTCGATGCCTAGACACATTAAACGTTCAACAACATTAGCAGAATTTAAGAGACATTGCATTTCACACGTTAAAACTGTCTTTTGAACGGTTATCCAGTGATTTTTTTATGAATTGACAAATTATGTATCTTGACGAAGTTATTTTTAACGGATTATATGTTATAACGACTTTTTAATAATTATTGTAGCACTGAAAAAACTATTTTGTTCGCCACGATGGTGATGATGGATTTTTGATATTTGATTTAATAGTAGTTTGAGCCTCGCGCGCGTATTACGGATATAGAGGATTGAATTTAACATTTGATAAAAAAAAAAAATGCAATTTTGAAGCTTATTTGGAAGATACCTTGAGTTAGTAGTAAGTTTTCTGGCAAATGTTGGGGGTTCGTGAGCATTCCTGACATTGCTGAAAATTATGATAGCATCAGATTGCGGGGTTACTAGTGTAATAGGATGCTTTGTTGATTGTTCATTAACTCTTGATTGCTTGTAATACTTATGAATATTTTAGGTGGACAAAAAGGCGAACTAAGAGGTGGACGCCTGAGCTTTTCAACATTTATATCGCTGTGAAGCAACTGTAAACTCTAGAGGGAATTTATATCTGTAACTGAAACCAGTTCGATTTTGTTTGCCAACCTGGATAAAATGTCGCGGCCTACACGGCCTGAGCGTCTGTTCACCATGGAGGTGCGGCTCAAACAGCGTCTGACTGGCATCCAGCGGCTGAATAAGAAATGCTGTATTGTGTCAGCTAAATCTAAGATGGCAGCCCCATCTACACAATAACTGAGCGTCTGTACACCATGGAGGTGCGGCTCAAACAGCGTCTGCCTGGCATCCAGCGGCTGAAACAAGAAACGCTTATCCCCGAAAGCTATACCCAAGATGGCAGCCCCATCACGGCGGATAGGAGACCTTAGGCTAACTACCTACTGTCCCCGAAACTTTACAACTGTTACAGAAACCAATAGAGAAAGATCACGGACTGATATTACGGCAACGACTTTTAGCGCAAAACAACGGACAAGAATTGGAACATGGAATGTACTAACGCTAGCCCAACAGGGGAAGCTGGCACAACTCGCCAGCGAGGCTCGACGCATGAAGCTCGAAATCCTGGGACTAAGCGAAGTCCGTTGGCCAAACTTTGGAGAACACAAGCTGCCGTCGGGACAGGTACTACTCTATTCTGGTATTCGAGGTGAAAACGCTCCCCGCCACCGTGGAGTTGGTTTCCTGCTTAGCGCCCAAGCAAATGCGGCGCTCATCAAGTGGGAACCTATCAATGAGAGGATAATCGTTGCCAGATTCAGAACGCGGGTTCGTAACCTAACCATAATCCAATGTTATGCGCCAACCGATGCTGCCGAGTTACAGGACAAAGAGAACTTTTACAGTCAACTGAATGCAGTCGTGGATAAAATTCCGAGAGGTGACATCAAGATCTACATCGGCGACTTCAATGCGAAGATCGGCTCCGACAACACGGATTATGAGCGTGTCATGGGGCGCCATGGTCTTAGCGAAATGAGCGAAAACGGTGAGCTGTTGGCAGAGTTTTGTGGCAATAACGACATGGTGATCGGGGGTTCGCTCTTCCCCCATCGACCAGTGCACAAAGTCACGTGGGTTTCCCGTGATGGACATACCGAAAATCAAATCGACCACATCTGCATCAGCCGAAAATGGAGAAGGAGCCTTCTTGACGTTCGGAACAAACGCAGTGCCGACATCGCGTCTGACCACCATCTCCTCGTTGGAGAGATCCGCCTTCGTATCGCGCGGGTCCAGCGGCGGGAGGAGCGGCTCGGACGGCGATTCAACACACGCCGATTGGAAGATCCAGCAGTAAAAAGGTCATTCGTCGAGGAACTGGAGACCAGAGCTGCGGATATTCCTGATGGTGGCAGCGTAGAAGAGCAATGGACGGCGATCAAGGATGCCTTTACTGAAACGAGTGAAAACAACCTGGGTGAGCTGCGCGCTCAGAGAAAGGAGTGGATCACGGATGACACCTGGAGGAAGATAGAGGAGCGGAGAAATGCAAAAGCCGCGATAGAGCGGGCGAGAACCAGAGGAGCGAAGAACCAGGCCCGCCAACTGTATTCGGCTCTCGAGAAGGAAGTGAAGCGCTCGTGTAGGCGGGATAAGCGAGCGTGGGTGGACTCCCTAGCCGATGAAGGTGAGAAAGCCGCAGCAACAGGCGATATCCGTCTCCTCTACGATATCTCACGACGCCTGAGTGGAGCAAGGATGAATCCTAGGATGCCAGTGAAGGACGCGACTGGTCAGTTGCTCACCGACCCCACTGATCAGCTGAAACGCTGGTTTGAACACTTCGAACAGCTTCTACAAGTTTCGTCGGTCAACCAGCCATCAACATCTCGGCATGAACCGCCAAGAGTGCGACGCATCACTCGCGTCAATTCTGAGGCGCCATCCCTACCGGAGATCGAAGCTGCTATCCGAACCATGAAATCCAACAAGGCTCCCGGGGTCGATCGCATATCAGCAGAGATGCTCAAAGCTGACCCCATGCTATCTGCACAAATGTTGCATCAACTATTCTGCAATATCTGGGACACCGCGACTTTTCCGGCTGACTGGATGCAGGGCGTCTTAGTGAAGGTCCCAAAGAAGGGGGACCCAACTGTATGCGATAACTGGCGTGGCATTATGTTACTGTGTTGTGTTCTCAAAGTTCTATGCAAAGTTATCCTCAACCGGATACAGGAGAAGATCGACGCGACTCTCCGACGGCAGCAGGCGGGATTCCGTGCTGGAAGATCCTGTGTGGACCATATTGTCTCGCTCCGCATAATCTTGGAGCAGGTCAACGAATTCCAAGAGTCCCTTTACTTGGTTTTCATTGACTACGAAAAAGCTTTCGACCGACTCAACCACGAAAACCTGTGGGGCGCCCTAAGGCGCAAGGGAGTTCCGGATAAAATCGTCAACCTCATCGAAGCTCAGTATGAGGCTTTCACGTGCAGGGTGCTGCACAACGGAGCCCTATCTGACCCTATTCGGGTAGTCGCTGGAGTGAGGCAAGGATGTATTCTATCACCGCTACTGTTCCTCATCGTAATCGACGAGATAATGGTTGGTGCGATCGACCGTGTGCCGAACCGTGGGTTGCTCTGGCAGCCTATACAATGGAGCATCTAAACGACCTAGATTTGGCGGATGACGTTGCTTTAGTATCACAACGGCGTTCTGACATGCAGAGTAAGCTCGACGATCTCGCCGAACGCTCCTCAGCGGCAGGTCTCAACATCAACGTCAGCAAGACTAAATCGTTGGATATCAACACGGGAAATCCATCCAATTTTACGGTAGCTGGTCAGGAAGTGGAGAAGGTTGAAAGTTTCCAATATCTTGGCAGCCAGATAGCGTCGGACGGCGGAACCAAGAGTGACATAGGTGCACGGATCAAGAAGGCAAGGGCTGCTTTTGCGAGTTTACGAAACATCTGGAAGTCAAATCAGATTAGTCTCCGCACGAAGATCCGAATTTTCAACTCTAACGTGAAATCTGTACTGCTGTACGCTAGCGAAACATGGTGCGTATCAGCGGAGATCACACAGAAGCTGCAGGTGTTCATCAACCGATGCCTGCGGTATATAATTCGTGCTTGGTGGCCTCACAACTGGATTTCGAATGCCGAGCTCCATCGACGGTGTCACCAGAAGCCGATATCGACAGAAATTCGGGAACGTAAGTGGAGGTGGGTTGGCCACACTCTACGGAAGTGCGGAAATGAAATCTGCAAACAAGCGCTGGATTGAAATCCAGCCGGACATCGCAGCAGAGGCAGACCCAGGGGCTCATGGCGGCGAAGCCTAAACAAGGAGATTAAGCAAGTCGACCGGAATTTGACCTGGGCCCAGGTCAAGGCGAAAGCAAACAATCGCCCAGGATGGAGATCTTTCACGTTGGCCCTTTGCGCCAGGGATGGCGCTCAGGACACTTAAGTAAGTAATAAAATGTCATATTTAATTATCTTAAAGATAAATCGTCCAGCTCAAACCTTTGTAGGGGTAAGAGGTGGGACCATCATCATCATCATTCCCCGCCCAATAATTGTGCCATCGTGGATATCGACTTTGGCCAACCATTCGCCATTCCGTCCAGCCGTAACATCGACAGTATCAATAACAATAACGTACAACCCCCCCCTGGCGAGCCCTCCATTGCACAGTGCACTCGGTTCGAGAAGATCTTCAGAATCAACTGCAAATGATACGTACCCTTCGATCGATTAATTCTAACATCTACGGCGAAAGTCAGCTGGACAATAGTAATGAGGAAATTTATTTCATCGATGCACCGCCAGTGACCCCGGCTTTGAATCCTCCTGTTCAGGTACACTATTTTGTTAACAATAATAATACAAATAACCATGGGTTTATCCACAGCTCCCCCCGATAGACTCCAACAACACACCGATGAAACCACCAACGGCAACTAACTACATCGCCACTCGGAACATTCCGATCTTTGCAATTAGCATTTCAACGGTAGAATGTACTAGAGTCGGTGTATAATGAGTCACGCCAAGAGAAAAACAGTTGAACTCGCATCACGGTTTTCGAAAGATTCCCTTTCTTTTAACTTGGCAACAGAGGAGTTCTGCATCAACTTCAAATGACTTCTAGCGAGGAAAAAAATTAACGGCTGTAGTAAATCATTATAATATCAGAGATTTTGTCGAACTATCTTAAAGAAAATAGTAGAAATTGTCATTACTGATCATTACAAAACGTATCGCTTGACAAATGTAATGCTCACTGCGTGTATATGATCATTTCTTCGATTATATTTTATATTTAATTGCAATACCTTTCGTGGACCTTTCATAGCATCGTAATGCTTGTTTACTTTGGACGATAGGTAGCCGGTTTGACAGTTCAATAGGTAGACTTGGCTTCACTCTTGGCGTGACTCATTATACACCGACTCTAGAATGTACATCACCGATCAGTCCACCTCCTGCTTTGCTAGCAGCATTCCGTTCGGGTGGTGCTTTCGACCGGTTGGATTCCAACATGTCTACAGCCAGTCGCGACAGCATTCAAAGTGGCGATTCCGAATTCCTTTCCATTATCCAAAAGCAACAGGACGAAGATGACCGACTGCATATGCGACTGAACCGCATTATATCCAATCGACCCAACTACTTCATTTCCAAGGAGTATATCCTGACCCAGAAAATACTGGGACGTGGTGAGTTCGGATATGTTTATCAGGGCTTGTTGAGACCGTGTCAGCTGGAACCCGGCACGGACCAACTCATCCCGGGAGGACAAGAACCGTCCGAGTTTAGGTCAATTGCCATCAAACAGCTAGTCGAGAGCCAGGGTAAACGAAATCGGGTGGATTTCCTGCGAGAGGCTAGCGTTATGATCGGTATCTGCAAGGGACCACCGCTGATGATTTTCGAGGAGTTGGTACCGCAGGGTTCGTTGTTGGACTACATCATTGCCAACAAGAATACGATTAGTCCGAAGCATGAATTGATCATCTGGGCTGCGCAGATTGCATGTGGTGAGTGACTGCTCCGCACTACCGATCATTGCAATACATTATCGTATCCGTTTCTTTTTCTTCAGGAATGCAATATCTCGAACAGCACCACTTTGTTCATCGGGATATGGCAGCTCGAAATATTTTGCTAGCGTCTCGCTACCAAGCCAAGATATCCGATTTCGGCCTGTCGCGGGCTATTGGTGCCGGGAACGATTACTATCATGCTAGCCAGGGCGGAAAGTGGCCCATCAAATGGTAAGTGCTTTGCCAGTATGCAGCCAACTTGAAAATCCTGACGGATTTCTGTTTTTTTCCAGGTCTGCACCGGAAAGTTTCAATTTTGGAACCTTTTCCCACGCTAGCGGTGTTTGGTCCTTCGGGGTTGCGCTATGGGAAATGTATTCACTCGGTGCCCCACCGTACCACGACATGAAAGGAGTGGACGTGATCAAACTGATTGAGAACGGTCAACGGCTCTCTCAACGTCTCAACCGGACATATGCCCGGATAAGGTGTTCGACATCATGGAAAACTGCTGGAACTACAATCCGAAGAGCAGGCCGACATTTGAATTTCTGACTATCTGATATTGAGTACCAGAACATTCAAGAACTGGTTCAAAGCGTAAAAGAAAGCAATGCCAACTATAAACTGCTAGTATAAACTACGTGACGTATTGCTATTGTTTTTGGACAGGCAGTTTTAAAGTATTACAGTTGTGCATACTGAGGTCAAGATATTACAGTAATGTCAATTGTTGTTTTGATTGTCTGTTGAACACGTTAATTATTGTCTTAGTCGAAGCGTATTTATTTGCCATTACATCAATAGCTAGGGAAAGTAACGGTGCCATCCTGCCACCAGGCTAAGTTGTAGGGTGACCAGCGAACCGGAAAAACCCGGGAATTCGAAGAGTGAAACGGGAAAATAAATTAACCATGCCACAGCAACAATTGTTTACACCAGGATTTTAGAATAAACCATTAAAACAGAGCGATTCTTTACCAAATGAATGTCTTACTTTATTTACTGCATAATATTCTTATCTTTTTGTTTTTAGAATTAAATCACTCAGCAATATTTCAAATTGATTTTTGTCGTTTCAATTTCATATGTTATGGGCATGAAAGGAAAATATTGAAGATGCTGGGCATTTGCGAAACAAATATTTGTAAAACCGAAACTAAACTATTTTTTCTGGGGTTTTAATTTCTCGTTCTTCATTATGCTCATGATATGAATTCCAGAATTAACTTGAAGTTCTACCAACAATCAATACGAAACTAACGATTTTAAATTGGCTCACCACTTGACTAGCCTATTGGTCCCAAGCAAACGATTAACGTACCCCATTCTAGTCGAAATTCTAGTGCTACGCAATGTTTGTTTTGATTAGCTATGTAAGTTTGACAGATAAAATGAGGGGTTATTTATTTTTGCTATGTTTCGAGGGGTGAATCGATTAGCTTGGGACCGAAGATAGTATCAGAGCTGAGCCAAAAAGTTGAGCACGTTTATTCGGGACCTTCTGGTCTTAGAGTTACCTCTATGGTTCTACCAACAATCAATACGAAACTAACGATTTTAAATTGGCTCACTACTTGACTAGCCTATTGGTCCCAAGCAAACGATTAAAGTATCCCATTCTAGTCGAAATTCTAGTACTACGCAATGTTTGTTTTGATTCGCTATGAAAGTTTGACAGATAAAATGAGGGGTTAGTGAATTTTCCTATGTTTCGAGGGGTGAATCGATTAGCTTGGGACCGAAGAGAGTACCAGAGCTGAGTCAAAAACTTGAGCACGTTTCTTCGGGACCTACTAGTCTTAGAGTTACCTCTATAGTTCTTCTCTGAATTATCATGGAATACTTCTGAAATTAACCAGAAATACTCCGAGTAATAATTACCGTTGAATTCTTTTTGGAATTTCTTGAAACTCTTTCTAAGAATTTGATTGGAATCCTTCTTAGAATTACTTTAAACCCATTCGGAGACTTTGATTCCTTTGAAATTCTTTTCAAAATTTACTATTCAAAGCAGCAGAAATCTTATGAAATTTTATTCAGAAACCCCATGGAGTATTTTAAAGAATTTCTTTTTAATTATCAGTATTTTTTTTGCAATCAATTTGGTTGAAGCTCTGTGATGAATTTTTCGCACTAGGGTTGAAATTATCCACGGAACACTCTTAGAACTCTGTTTCTTGTTTAATTCTCATAATAATTCTCTTGGAATTCTTCTTAAAATCCATCTGTTATTTTCCTCACGATTCCCATTCACATCTCCTCAGAATCACGTAAGAATTTCCCTTAAAGTTTTTTTTTTCAAAACTCCTTTTGAAATTTTCTAAAATTACCAAGAGTTTAATTTGGAACTTGCATTCTTCTGCATAGAAATCCCTCTAAATTCATCTAAGGACTTCATGTCATAATAATTCAGGAATTCTGTTAAGAATTTTTCCCTTGGAAAATTATGAGGGAGCCCTCCTCAATATTTATGTAAAATCAAAACTTTGAATACTTTTAATTTTTACTTAAAATTCCAGGGTTTGTCCGCAATATTTTATAGATTGTTCTGTAATTTATTATAACCCTTAAAATGCTTCCAAGTCTCGGAAAATTGACAATTATAACTCCACGACCCATAAGTATGATTTTGAGGTAGTATTACGTATTTCGGCAACATATTGGGGGTGCAATTACAAAAAATCGATCGCGTTACGAAAAGAGGTCAGGTTTTGACCACATAGATTTTAATTCTAAACAAGCCAAACGATTAGAAATTTATCTACCAATCTGCTAAAATGAACACTTTATTAATTTTCAATGGGTTATTGAAAATTACACAAATGTCCAACTTTTGCAGTGGTGATCAAAATTATCACCGAATATCTGAAATCAGCGCATTCCCTAACACAGACTTAAAAATCGAATTCAATGCGGTCTCACTGAACGGTGCTCATTCAATCACCGTAAGTGGTGGTGACCGGTCATCGGTATCAGCAGGAGCAGCATCAGCCTCGAAAAAAACATGCTTTTGAATTTAATTCAAAATAAATATTTTAATTTTGAACATGTTTTCAATTTAATTTGAATCATTTATATGTTTAGAGTATTTATTTTTGATTTGAATGAACAAAATTTGTATCCGTGGAGAAATCAATTTTGTTAATAATCTAAGAAAAAACTGATTTTCTTGAATTTTCGATAATTATTCCCATTATTAAAAAAAAAACCGTGTCGAAAAAAAAGCTATATTTTCGGGGCGGTAAGCTTCCCCTTAACCATACATTTTGGGGTTAAATACAAAGAGGCAAAACGTGCTTAACATAATTTTCTATTGTAATTCTGTTTTCGTGGTGGATGTGAAACCAAATTAAATCCGTTATTTCTAAGGTTGAACCAGTTAGCACAAACAAACATTCCTTTCACGGTAACCAGCGTAAACACATTAATGTGTAAAAAAATACACATTTTTTATGTTTATATGCAGCTGTCAAAAAATGTGTAAATTAGGAGATCTCAAAATGTGTGAAAAAAAAACATTTTAAGAATGTAGTACCAGTCAAAAAAATGTGTATTTTAATACTCATTAATGGGTAAAAAAAACTTCAAAACTTGCTGCATACTGCTTCGTTGATGCAAGCCATTTGCCTAAGCGAATAAATTTCAGCAATTTTAGGCAAAGGATGAGGAACTACGTTCCAAACTTTAAAGAGCAACGATGGACAAGCTAGAGGGTAAGTGGTTTATATTATTTTCATAGCTTAGCCCTAGAAAAAAAATCATTTTTAAGTTTTTAATTGCCCGCTGTCTGGCTGTGATTTTTTTTTTTAATTAAATTGTATTGAATCCGAGCAATCTATTCGTCCCCATCATATTAAAATTCTATAAATGATTACTTTTTACACATTTTGCAGTAAAAACCGTACTTGAAAAATGTGTAAAAAATACACTTCTTTGACGTTTGATGGGTTTACACATAAATGTGTAAACGCAGTTTACACATTTTATGACCCCTTTTTTCACGAAATGTGTGAATTTTTACACATTAATGTGTTTACGCTGGTTACCGTGTTCATTGCCGCATTCTTCGGCGCTTTAACAGGGGCGTGATCCAGGATATAGGTTTTTGCCCTGCCTACACCTCGGCAGTATTGAAATCCGACTACATTTCCAATCACGAACCGATCGTTGCATGTGAATTGGCACCAATCACCAACGTAGATTTCCTCGTAGGTCCCGGGAGATGTATGTTTATAGGGTCTATTCTGAAGGCATAACAGCGGTAGCGATTCAATTTATAAGAGCTGACATTATCCTTAACGTAGCAAAAGGGCCTGTGAAATTTTTGTTTCACGGGCCAATAACGAAAGGGTCTAACGGTACGCTGGGGGTAAATTAAGTACATGTCTCGCTGTACATTAATGGAGTTAATGTACTTAATTTATGCGACTTGTAATTAAAGCTGAAATTTGTACTTAAAAGTAATTACATCAAAAAAATTCCGACGCTCGTAATTAAAGTAATTAATCATGTAGTTAACTGTAATTATTGTACTTAAAAAAGGCTTGCGTAGGAGTTAAAGGTTATTGCGTGCCCCTCGGTTTTTTTAGCAATATAGAAATCAATCGTATTTCAAAACATCAGTCACCGATGTGTCTGTGTTTGACTGGCGATGATCGATTTCTGTACGTGGTACCTGATCAAGCGGGAACGGTGACAAAGGCGGAGAAGGCGGTAGTTCTTTCGCTGGCCATTTCGCAGGATCAGAAGTTTTTTTTGAGGCCGATAAGGGGCTGTTCATAAACTACGTAAACATTTTTTTTAATTATTGACCCCCTCCCCCTGCGTCCATACAATTTTTTTTAATTTGTATGGGCCGTGCATAATTGTCAACCCCCCCCCCCCCCCCTAAACTGTCTACGTAGTTTATGAACAGCTCCTAAGAGAAAGAGTTGAACGGACACTGGAGCTGGTGAATACTTTGGACATTCACACGCTGCGCTACTTCCGGGAAAAAAATCGCAGCTAGTATGCAATTGTCTTCCCGGCACGGATAACTTGAGTGTGTCAAGTTGATCGGTAACGATCATTTCGTGTCCTGTGCACATGGGACTCATCGTTTCCTATCGGTTTGGAGTTCTGCCCATAGTATTGTTTACACGGTAACCAGCGTAAACACATTAATGAGTAAAAAAATACACATTTTTTATATTTATATGCAGCTGTCAAAAAATGTGTAAATTTGGAGATCTTAAAATGTGTAAAAAATACACATTTTAAGAATGAAGTACCAGTCAAAAAATGTGTATTTTTATACTCATTAATGGGTAAAAAAAAACTTCAAACTTTGCTGTATCCTGACGCCATTTGTATATATTTCCTGTTTAACGGAAAATGAAGGAACTATGTTCCAAGCTGGACAGTGCAACGATGGACATACTAGACGGTAGGTGATTAATACTATTTTCATAATTAAGTTTTAGAAAAAAAAAATCATTCAGTGTCCGGTGTGTCGCTTGCTTGCTTCATACTGATTTTTTGTTTTTTTCCTTGATTTGTTTTTCTGTGCTGAG